GGAGGGGATGAGAGAATGGCGACACGGAGAGTGGGAGGGGATGAGAGAATGGCGACACGGAGAGTGGGAGGGGATGAGAGAATGGAGACACGGAGAGTGGGAGGGGATGAGTGAATGGCGACACGGAGAGTGGGAGGGGATGAGTGAATGGCGACACGGAGAGTGGGAGGGGATGAGAGTATGGCGACACGGAGAGTGGGAGGGGATGAGAGTATGGCGACACGGAGAGTGGGGGGGAATGAGAGTATGGCGACACGAAGAGTGGGGGAGGATGAGAGAATGGCCACATGGAGAGTGGGGGGGATAGCGATAAAAAGGAGACAGAGCGAGAGAGAAGGAAGTATTGGAATATTATTTTTTCAAACAGGGAGAATGCACTAACCCACATATACTCTGGGTAGTCCCTGAGGTTTTGAAGGCCATGCATGACGGTGTCTCTGTCTTCTTCCCACTTGCGTTTGCAAAAAACTATTTCCAAAAAATACCACGTCCAACCAATGAGGGGCACCATCAGCAGCTCCTTCTTTGCAAGGACCTTCGAACTCTGGGGAAAAAAAAATAAAAAACGGACATAGAGACAATGTGAGATACAGCGAGACAGGGTCTAGGAGCTAGTGAGAGATACAGCGAGACAGGGTCTAGGAGCTAGTGAGAGATACAGCGAGACAGGGTCTAGGAGCTAGTGAGAGATACAGCGAGACAGGGTCTAGGAGCTAGTGAGAGATACAGCGAGACAGGGTCTAGGAGCTAGTGAGAGATACAGCGAGACAGGGTCTAGGAGCTAGTGAGAGATACAGCGAGACAGGGTCTAGGAGCTAGTGAGAGATACAGCGAGACAGGGTCTAGGAGCTAGTGAGAGATACAGCGAGACAGGGTCTAGGAGCTAGTGAGAGATACAGCGAGACAGGGTCTAGGAGCTAGTGAGAGATACAGCGAGACAGGGTCTAGGAGCTAGTGAGAGATACAGCGAGACAGGGTCTAGGAGCTAGTGAGATGTGTTGAAGCAGACAGGCCTGCAGCCAGTGAGATACAGCCGCAGACAGGGCCCAGGGAGCTAGTGAGATACAGCCAGACAGGCCCAGAGCTAGCAAGTGAGACAGCTGTGCTGCAGACAGGGCTCCAGGAGCTAGTGAGATACAGCTGCATTGTGTCTAGGGAGCCAGTGAGATACAGCTTGCAGACAGGGTCTAGAGCCAAGTGAGATACAGCTTGGTGACAGGGTTCAGGAGCTAGTGAGACAGCTTATCAGGGTCTGGGAGCTAGTGAGAGATACAGCTGCAGACAGTGGGTCTAGGAGCTAGTGAGAGATACAGCCAGGCAGTGGCTCCAGGGAGCTAGTGAGAGATGGCCAAAGCAGACAGGGTCTAGGAGCCAGTGAGAGATGTACAGCTTGGTGGTGTGGCCCAGGAGCTAGTGAGAGATACAGCGCAGACAGGTCTAGGAGCTAGTGAGAGATACAGCAGACAGTATAGGAGCTAGTGAGAGATACAGCTGCAGACAGGGTCTAGGAGCCAGTGAGACAGCCGCAGACAGGGTTCAGGGAGCTAGTGAGATGTGGGCCACAGCTTATCAGTGGGTCTAGAGCTAGTGAGATACAGCCAGACAGGGTCTAGGAGCTAGTGAGAGATGTACACGGTGATGGTGGGTCTAGGAGCTAGTGAGAGATGGCCACAGCGAGACAGGATCTAGGAGCTAGTGAGAGATACAGCGAGACAGGGTCTAGGAGCTAGTGAGAGATACAGCGAGACAGGGTCTAGGAGCTAGTGAGAGATACAGCGAGACAGGGTCTAGGAGCTAGTGTGAGATACAGCGAGACAGGGTCTAGGAGCTAGTGTGAGATACAGCGAGACAGGGTCTAGGAGCAAGTGTGAGATACAGCGAGACAGGGTCTAGGAGCTAGTGTGAGATACAGTGAGACAGGGTCTAGGAGCTAGCAGGAGATACAGTAAAGAAGAGTGTCTAGGAGTTCGTGTGAGAGAGGGGAAGGGAGAAAGGGAACCTCAATATGATCGCCATCAGTTAGTCGATCTATATGGAGATTTATGAGCCCACCCTACAACTGGTTGATTATGGTAAATGTGCCATCCGGATTAGGGAATACAGTGAATTAGGTTCCCTCAAAGTCGTGATACAAAGCATGTTCTCCACAGGTCGCCTCCTTATTGAAGGCCAGCTTTGTGACCAGAAACAGGACGATAATCTTCTAAATGTTCATAAATTAGCCTTGAGTGTCTCAGCCTCTTTAAACACTAAGTGGGCTCAGCAGAGATATGGATCTCACACTCACCCCGAGCACTCCAAAACGTTCACACATGGTCCAGCCACACAAGAAGTCAATCTCAAAATTGTGATTGAGGATAATGATGACGTGCTCCTTCCCAAAGTGATCCACCGTCTGCTGGTCCGTGAAGAGAGTGCATTTTGTGCCAGACCACCACTCCAACAGCATCACCAGCTCTAGGGAACAACACAGTGTCAATGATTGCCAGCACCATACCAATATCTAGCATTATATAACAAGGAGATCCTTTCTACTGCAGGGCTAAATAGAGAGGCGCTAAGAATCATACTGTGACATTATCTAAAAATAATCCCATATTACAATGAGACTAGCATCACTCAGTGAATCTTAGCTAGACACTGGGGTACTCACGGCTCCAGAGGGAGTATGCCAGCCGGCAGTTGAGCCTGCGGTACGCCTGCTTGTTTATACTCCACAAGGGAACAGTGCAGAGCTGAATGAAGTTGATGATGAGGCCGCTAAGCACGAACACAAAGCCAATGAGAAGATGAACCACAAACTGAGTCTTCACGAACCCCCAAACCCCCATTTCTGCTTCCTGCGCTCAGTGACGCTTACACGGACCCTCACTCAGAGCCACCGTCCTGTGAGGAAAAAAACAGAATGAGATGGGTCAGTTTGAGAAGAAAGCACAAGAGGCATACTGTCACTTCCTCAGTATGATTTGAAGTGTGTACATTGTATTCAATGAATCCCAACACCCTGCTATGTCCACAATCCCCACCCCCCAGTTATGTGCCAGATGTTAACATCAAGCAATCTTATGGTACTGAGTCCAATGGCCCCATGTAATCCCCCATGTCAGAACGATTAGTTCCAGTGTACATGACAGTGACTATATAAAACCATCCTCCTAGCCGCAGGGAATCCACCAAACCGTTATTGACAACATTTCTCCTTTTCCATTGTAAGTGCACCGTAAGGATCTATTTAATGGACATCGCCAATAGCATAACGCTGTGTATTAGTTTTCATTTGCAAACACAGTCAATTTCTCGAACATACCCTTTTATACGTTTTATTTATACCAAAAACACTCAAAGTTCAAACCCGACCCAGTGCACAAAGTACATAACCCACCCAACTGATTAAATCCCTACAACACCGCCCAGCACACATTGTACCTATTCTCCCACTTACCGAGTACAAACACTGCACCTATT